TTTCACTGTGGATATTGGGCAGTGATCAGTAGTGGGGGGAGGAGTAAATCGGCCAGATCCGAATCAAAGGACCTATGCTAACGCTTGAACCTGAAAGGCTTACCTGAAACATCAAAGCAGGGGGCTCTCGTGGCCTAGAGGGTAAGGTGTTGGCCTCTCATTCAAAGGTTCCGGGTTCGAATTCGGGTAGCGAAACATTTTCTTTTCTAAAATTGTCTCCTTTCACCTCCTTTCCTGCTCTCTAACAATATTCTGTCGTCTGCTTTCGTCTCCTTTTTCTACCCCCAACCCCTCACCTCCTTTTCCCCTTCCTCTGGGCTCCTGACTCTACTTTCTACTGCTGCTCCTTGGCTCCTTCTTACTGCTATCTTTCAGCCACACCCTTGATCTTCTGGTGAGAAAGATATACACCTAGCCTTCTCGGACAAGGGCCAAAAAATCTGGGAGGGCCTATGCGAAAGTTGTGCACGTTAAAGATCCCTTGGTGGTCTAAAATCGATAAGAGTAGGCTTCGGCCGCCACTCGGGCAAAATTCAGATTTTTCTACCAACTGAAAAGGTTAGATATGTCCCGCGAGTTCATACGGCCTTCTGCAGTTGCGAGCGCCGTAAAACACTTACCAAAAAAACAAAAACATATAAAAATATTTTTTTAAGAACCATCAAAACAACACGTCTTCTCTTTAATTCCAAGTCCTACAACAGTGCTCATATTACATTACACCCTGAACAAAAGACAAAAAAAAAAAAGACAAACTGAATAAAGAAATTATACGAACATATTGTGGGGAAAAGCACCTTTATTTTTTTTTCTTTGAAAAACAAAAACATTACCAACAAACAAACCAAACCTGTATTATATTATTTGGACACAAAAAAGAAGATGACAACACCACAGGAAAATTATCTTTACAGCACAAACGAGTTTTTTTCTACTTAAAAAAATAATAAATTTGTATAAATAATACAAGACTGCTGCAAGATGCGTGCGTTCACAGGAGGCTTTCTGTGAGGATGTGTAGCTCAGGGTAATTTACTCTCTCTCACTCTCTGTCTCTCTCTAATTCTCTCTCTCTTTCTCTCTCTCCCGCTCTCTTTGTCCCTCTTCTTTCTCTTTGTCTCCCCTCTTTCTCTTATCCTCTTTCTCTCTCCCCCCTCTCTCCCTCTCTCTCTCTCTCTCTCTCTCTCTCTCTCTCTCTCTCTCTCTCTCTCTCTCTCTCTCTCTCCTTGTCTCTCTCTTTCTCTTTGTCTCTCTCTTTCTCTTTGTCTCCCCTCTTTCTCTTTGTCTCCCCTCTTTCTCTCATCCTTTCTGTCTTTTCCTAACCTCTCTCGGTCTGCTGCTCTCTACCTTACCCCTTTTACTCTGTGTACGCGCGCACGTGTATGTATATGTGTGTGTGTGTGTGTGTGTGTGTGTGTGTATGTGTGAGTGTATGTGTGAGTGTGTGTGTGTGTGTGTGTGTTATTCACGTTTGTGTGTTTGAGTGTGTGTGTGTG